CTACTTAGTTTATTACTTTATTATATAGCTTACTACCTATAACTACTATAGCTACTATAGGTATTTATAGAGAATTAAGATCAGTTTAAATAAATACTATATCTTAAGAATAACTATTCTCTTATATAGGCCTATTATAGCCTAATATATAACTTATAGTTTTAGTATATTATATACTATATTAAATTAATAAGAGTAGAAGTAGTTTTTAAAAATTAGTTTATTAATTAAGCTTTTTATATTTTAAAATAGTTTAGATCAGAATATTAGTTAGATTAGATTAGGCTTAGTATTAGTATATTAAAATTTATTTTAATTTAATTTAAATTATATTTATTTAGAAATAAAAGAAAAGTTAGTTATTTAAAATTATTAATTAAGTTTATATCTATAAATATAGTATATATTTACTACTATAAAAATTTTTTATTAAATAATATAGATTTAATATTAATCTAATATTTATTTATATATACTTAGTTATACTATATAATATTATAGATCTTATATTTCTATTTTTAATATAATTCTACTAAAAGTTCTCTTTTTATATAATCTTTAGAATATTTTCTTAGATCTTTTTTAAAAATAGTATAGAATTCTATTCTATAGTATTAATAAGTAAATTATTATATTTAAATTATATTATACTTTTTAGATATTTTTTTATTAGAAAATAGAAAAAAGTTATTTAATACTTTTTCTTATTAATATATAGTATATTAAATATTATAATATATTATTTAGAATTCTAATCTATAATTATACTTCTAGCTAATATTTATATATATTAGGTTTTTATATTTATTACTAGGGTATTAAATAGTATTTATAATATTTCTTTTATTTTTATATTTCTATTTAAGTTCTTAGAGAATATATATAATATATTATTAGTTTCCTTCTAATACTATTTATTTTATCTTTTTATTATTAATTTCTAATATCTTATAGAAGTTTAATATAGATTTTCTAGAAAATATAGATATTATAATAACTATATAGTTTTCTTTCTAAATAATCTTTTTAATTATTTTAAATATTTTAATTTTAACTTTTCTAATTATTTCTAACTACTTTTTATTTTTCCTAATAGATTTCTAATTTTTCTATTTTTTAGATTTTAAGTATTATAATAAAATATATCTAATCTTATTATAATTATAATATTTATATTTCTTTATAGCTTTTAGCTCTATAGAACTTATATATATTTTAAATTCTATAGATAGTAATAGAATTTATTATATCTCTTAGTTAAATTTATTTTTAATATAATTCTAATTAGTATATTTATTCCCTTTTTATTATTATTTTTTATATAAATAGTTATTAATTTATATAGTATTTATTATATATCTAGATAGATTTTTAGATTTATTTATTTTAAAAAGTTAATTCTTAACTTCTTTCTTAAGTTTATTATAAAATATAGCTTTAAAAGAGCTATTATTCTAATCTAATTAGATTAAGATTTCTTTAAACTTAGTATTATATTCTAATATTAATTCTATCTAGTATAAATTCTTAAGATCTTTAGTAGCTTACTATTTCTTATCTATTTATCTAAATACTAAAATAAATATAATCTAAAAATTCTTATAATTAGTAAGAATATTAATAGTTTTCTATTTCTATAAGCTTAATATAGTTTTATTATTATATTAAATTCTAAAATAAGATTAGAACTATTATTTTATAATACTATTAAAATATATTTCTATAAATCTAATTTTATCTTTATTTATTATAAACTTAATTAAAAAGAATTTAAAATATATTTAAAGTTAGATTTTAAATTCTTCTAATCTATTAGTATTATCTAAGAAGAATTCTAAAGGAATTAATTATATTATTTTCCCTTTATTCTTTATTTTCTTTTTTTTAAATTATTTAATTTAGACTATAAGTTATTATATAATCTCCTAAGCTATTAGAGCTTATAAAATATTATTTAATAGTTTAATAAAAACTATTTTATTTTTTTAATATTATATAATAATTAAGATAAAATAATTAGTTAAATAAAAGTTATTAATATATAATAATTAGATAATTTATACTAAATAGAGTTTAGAATAGATTAGAATTAAACTAATTAGAGTATTATTCTAAATAGTATAATTAGATTATCTTAGATTATATAATATAAATTACTATTAATATATAAGTATTATAAAGCTAGTAATAATAGATATATAGATAATTATATTAATAACTATTTAAAAGGAGTATTCTAATTAATAAAATAAATATATATATATAATAAAGCTATTACTAGCCTATTACTTAATTATTATACTGCCCGAGTAATAGATTTATACTTATTAGTTATAGTCTTCCAGTAGGTCTATGCTTTATATATAACTTTATACAGCCTGACGGAGGCCTTTGTTCGTAATACTGAATTACACTGGGCGATGCGACCAGCTCTTAGCAATCCAATTGACCCTTCGGGCGGGTGTTGTGCTGCTACAAATGGTTGATTTCAAAAATTTCGTTCTCGCTAGTTGTGAGGTTTTTGAGCGAGTTCACAGGTGAGGCACACAATCTGTACCCAATCTCCCCTTCCTCTCACGTGACCTCCTCTACGGGCCTCCAACAGGGATTATCCTCCGCGTCTGTCTCTAGGTCCTCGGGGAGGCCAAGTCTCCATGGCGGGGTTTCATCATAGAAAATCCGCTTTCTCTTCTCATATGGATGGCAAATAGTGTCCCACAACTTGCAGCTTTGATCAACGATGTAGCTCTTCAAAACCGGTACCTTTGCGCCCTTGGAAAGCTCGGGACAACCGCAGAGGGCGGATGGACAGTGTTGCTCCTAGAATTCCATGTAGCGCCTAAATTGAGGACTCGAGACCTAAAACTTGGTCAGTGGTGTCCACAATAGAGATCGCTGCTCGGCGCCGTGTCTCCGAGTGTGTCTCTCGGCATATTTAGGTGGCTCGTCTGGTGGTCTCTGATTTTAGCTGAATTCTCAGAACTTAGGTGCCTTCATTTCTACTATACGATCCAGAACAATCCAAAAAAAAACGATGTGACCCAGAAAGACCGGGGAATAGCCTCGAGGGTCGTTGACTTGCAAAGCTTGTAGCCACTTTGGACTAGGCTTCGAGATCCGTGATTTCTAAGCGGCCATTTCTCTGGACCGACGGATCTACCAAAGAACCTTATCTCCTCTATCTTTACTGTTTCCAAGTCGGTCAATGTATGATTCGACGGACTCTATATGCGTCGCGACCCAGAATTATCTTACGCCTAGCCTATCTTGAGTAGGCTTTATACAAATTGGACCTGGTCAGCCATGCAGCCTTCGAATTCCTTCCAAAACGCCCCGGGTCTCGTCCTTTGGGCCTCGCTGGACTCGTTGTGATTTCACATCAGTTCATTTCCATACCACGGCGCCAGGCTTTGGGTGCCATAGGGCCTGGACTGGCACAATGGAGCATATTAGGTTCGATGAACTGAAGTGTAAGTAAAACGCCTTATGCTTTAGTATGGGTATTGCAGATATATTATAAGTTTCAAAGCGGTATTGGCAAAACTTTATATACTTAGAAGTATTTATAATGAGGAGGTTTGATATATTCGGACAAAATCAATTGGATTACTTACTACCAGCTATGAAAGTATATCTCTTCGAAGAGCCTCGTAGGCGTAACTATCATATTTATATGACATATGGAATGATGTTGACACTGCTAGTCCTGTTGTCCCACGACCCGGATGATTTGGCGCTGTCACCTTCGCCCCCCTCCCCCCAATTTGTCACCCACATCTGCAAAGTCATCCCAGAAATAAATTGAAGGAGTCAAATTCTGCTAACAAAAAAAAGGTGCACAAATAGACTTTAATGGTTAAGGCAGACAGTCTGTTTCGAAGTTGCGACGAGTTCCGTAGGTTTACTCAGAAAAAAAAATTCCAGTCTGTGTATATAAGATGGTCCTCCCCAACACTTACACTTTTGCAATACTGACGCCTTTGGAACGCTGACGCCCTTGCAACACTGACGGCTTTGCAACACTGACGCCTTCGCAACACTGGCGCCTTTGCAACACTGACGCCTTTTCAATACAGACAATTTCGCGTGACCACGGGGTTTCGAATTATTGGCTCTTAGGAGCTATATATTAATACCTTTCCAGAACCTAAAACTTTCGTATTAGAGCTAAGCTACACTGGTCGCAGATGTCTGATACGTTTCGCGTGTCACCACATGATGATATACGACTGATACCTAACTTGAAGTCTGGGGTTATTGGTAATGTATATAAGCATATGGATTGGGATGCCTGTGGGCTTATTATTACTATGTTTAACTATCGTGCTATATGAAATTTTATAGCTATTCCTCAGCTTATTTCGTATATTATATCAGCTGAGTAATAATCTTATATGAGGCAGGTCATGTCTGGGTATATACAGTGAAAAGGTGGGAAGATAATACTTGTAAAACATTGGAAGTGAAAATCAAGAAAAGAAGAAAAGAATATAGTAGGCCTTGGGCTGTAATCTAGCTAAACTTCAAAATTCTATAAGGTAATAAAAAAAAAACACTCTGCGACTTTGAATTTATTTTTTCGCCGCCGTTGGGATGATAGCTAATCCGGAAAGTTTTATGCTTTTTGCTGTGGGCGTGTTCTCTTGCTCTCCAGCTGAAATCGGTATTCCGTAATCCTCAAGCTTAAAAAAAGCCACGTATTTTACGAGCGATGGTCTGTGCAACCTTTAAACCTGCCCATCACTTAATCTGTTTCGTGCTTAACGTGCCGCCAGCAACGGCGTTAACCTCGATGCGGGAGGGGTGGTTGCGCCATAAGGTGGTATCCAATATTCCAAAATAGATACAACTGATATAGCCCTTATGTCAAGTGATCACGGAGCTCGAATCGGCTAGACCGAGCATTCTTGAAAAATACATCCCCTGACTATATATGTAGGAGTGTTTCCAGATGTTGCTCATTTCTGAAAATAACATTCTAGTCGTCAAATGTTTCCAAAATGTCTTCAGGCCGTATCCTTGATAACCTTGTGGCTCAAAAAGCCGAGTTCGTTAATCATGCTCGGTCAAAAGTTTATCAATATATTAGATGGAAGGATAGGGATCACTTGATCCGGATAGTTGAGAAGGATGCTTATGGCCCTGGCCAGTATCGAACGCATCGCCCCGGACTGGACTTATATGTATTTGTTCTGGGCTGCTTTTGTACTAAAAAAAAGTACAAAGAACACGAGTTGGACTCGGCCCTGACCGATCCCGTGGTTAATATTGTCTGTGACTGCTATTCAGAGTTGTTACAGGCAAATTCCCACCAGCTGAAAGAGCACCTCATTCAGAAGATTTTATCAAACGACATTATACTTCAGGCAACATTAAAGATTGTTATAGATAAGCTTAAGTCCAAAGGGTTAAGGATCACGGAGTCATCACTAGCAAAGCTAGTCCACGAGACCGTCAGCCAGACCGCCCACACTGCAGCACACTCACATCTCGGGACCACTATCGGCCACAGTATTACCGTTGCTGCTGGCTCCACGGCTGGCCAGTTTCTCATAAACATACTAGTTAAAGCCATAGCTCACCATGTTACGACCATAACCACCAATATCATAGGTAATATCGCGGTGAAAACAGTAGTCAAGGCTGCTGCAAAGAAAGTTTGCATTACTGCTATTACTGGAGTTATTGTGAAAACTATCGCAACGAAACTTGGCTTTACAAGTACAATGAGCATACTACATGTTGTAGGATAGCTGGTCATTGGAGGATATCTTACGGTTAAGCTTATCGGATTACCAAGGGAGATGGCGGAAAAGGTTTCAAACGGCGTAAGCGACACTCTCAATAATAGCTATCGTTCTTGCTTGGAGGAAATTCTGGACGATATCACGGATTCTGTGACTGACCCTAAGAAGATAGCGAGTTTGATGACCTCCGAGATGGTGGATATCAGCGAGTTTCAGAGAGAGCTTGAGAAAGGCACAAATCTTTCCAATGAAGAGCTTTCCGCTCTCGAAAATATCATGGAAAAGGGGGTGCAGAAGGGATAGGCGTATTTTTCTAAAAAGCGCTAACTGGCCTCTCTCCCACTTGCTGGAGGAGTACGATGGTTTGATAAAGCTCCTTACTCGGGCCAGAGAGAGAGGAGACTAAGATGTTTTCATGGCTCTCCTTATAAGCTGCGTAGCGCTTATTTCCGAAGGTAATAAGAGCCTGCTTTTAAAGTTTAAGGATATATTTCAAGAGATTACTTCTGTCAAAGGGAACAGTATAAGCCTGCTTTAATTTACAGAACTATAAATAAAAATCCACTGTTAAAAATACGAGCATATTAACGCCTGCTAGAGGTAGAGAAGGTAGAAACATTACCTGCAGAGCTGCAGAGTATAATCATTATAGTGGCTTCCCATGCTCAGGAGCTGGGCAAAGAGTGTTTTATATTATAGAGACAGAGGTCGGATAGATAGCGCTTAATATATATAGGGATGAGTTGATAGTTTATTATTAGCTGTATATATTCCGTCCGGGGGGGCATAAGCCCCAGAAAGTCTTCTAATGGAGCACAGGACATGCTGAGCTAAACTATACATACTCGAGCGTTTTCTATACTCATTACATCCAAGAGGCACCTCTCTACTCATAGCCAGCTCTACAGTAGTTATCAGTAAAGCACATCCCATGGACATCGATACAGTTAATCTCAGCAGAGCTTCCCTCCAGCAACACTTCTATCTAGTTCATCCAGCATATCATCGGCACAAAGGCGCATTACTTTCAAGCAGTCATCCCGTCAGCAGGAACTATTCCTCTCCAGCCTTGAATTCTCTTGCATTACAGCTACAGGGTAAGTTTAGTATATTGTATTCTGGTGTTATTCTTATCTCCTTATTACTATATATTATAGAAATAGCTAATAATATACCCTTAATTACTAAAACTATACTCTTTTATATCTATATCTAGTTCTAATTAATTAGAAAAATTCTACTACTCTATTAGAAGTTAGTTCTATATAAATTTTATAGAATTAAATAAACTTTATATAGAATTCTATAATTATTCTAATAATAAAGTTATTATAGTAAAATTATCTCTAATTTTACTAGATTAAGCTATTATTCTTAGTAGTAAATTTACCTAAAAACTCTTACTACTTTAAGCTTCTATCTTTTAATAGATCTCTATTAGAATATTAATAAGTACTATTATAGTACTACTCTCTAGTTATACTATAGTAGTTAGATAAGCTATTTACTTAATTACTAAGAAGTTAGTCCCTAAGCTTCTAGTTAAGGTATTAAAATAGACTATTTTATATTATAATTAGTACTTAGTAGTCCTTCTATAAATCTATAAATACTATATCTACTTATTACTATATTCTTTTTCTCCTATCCTTTTATTCTTTTCTATTCTTATTTCTTAATTTCTAATTAATCCTTATCTCCTCTATAACCCTTTACTTTTCCTCTTACTATAGCTTCTTTCTCTCTTTAATTTCTATATTCTTACTTCTTTAGATTTACTAGCTAGACTATAGTATATCTCCTACTATATAATTACCTCCTGATCTTAACCCAGAATACTCTAATCTAGACTTAGAATATTTAGATAAGTTTAATATTAATAATATTTTTAATAATAATAGTTATAAGAGCTCTAAGTATAGAAGTAATAAGACTATCTTAGAAGAATTTCCTAATAATAATAAAATAGACTTTAAAGATATTATTAATCTATTTAGTAGAAATATATACTTATTAGAATACTATTAAAATATAGTAAAAGACTTTAATAAAAGTTATTATAATAGTTAAGATTATAGCCCAGGTAGTAATATTCTCTTAGATATAATAGAAGATATATAGAAAGAGTAAGTAACTAGTTCTACTCTTAATAGGCTTTTAATAGTTTATACTAATAGGTTTTATTTATAGGTTCTATAAGATTATTAACTATAACCCTAAAGCAAGTTATATATCTCTTTCTATAGAGATATTATATAATTTCTTTAACTAGTATTTAAATTAAAAAGTTAATAAAAATAGTAGAAAGCTCTATAGAATAAAGAAGAAAAGTTCTTTAAATATATACTGAAAAGTATTCTAACTATATATTAAAAGAGCTATTAATAATAAAATTAATCTAAAATTAAACTAGAAGATATATAGAGTAGGAACTTTTTATTATATTCTTTCTTTAGAATACTTTCTAATATAAGCTTCTAAACTCTTAAAGATCTAGCTAAAAAGTATATACTAAGTAATAAGAAGTAGATAAACTACTATATTACTATTAAAGATCTATTAGAGTAGATTTAGATAATACTAAGTATAACTAAAAAATCTTTTTAGTTAGAAAAGATTTAAATTCTTATAGTTTTATTTCTTCTTTTACTTATACTTACTAATACTTACTCTATATCTATTTTATATCTTTAATTTAGTAATATTTATATAGTATTAATATAGAATCCTAAAGGTAGTATATATAATATCCTTACTTATTTTACCTTAGCTTTTATAAAGATATATCTATTAGTAATTCTATAATAGTTTCTAGTAGAATCTATTAAAATTTAGTAAATAAATTTTTATACTAATAAAAGATAGGGAGTAAGATCTATTACTAAAGATCTATTAATCTATTAATTAGAAATTTAGATTACTCTATAAAAAATATCTATTTATTTAGTATTTAATTAATATTTCTAATATTCCTACTAGAAATATTATTCTCTTAATATCTTAATAAGATTTTAACTAAAAACCTAATTAAATAAGATCTTATTAAGATTCTTATTTATACTATTTACTATTTTTAAAATTTATTTTACTAATATATTTAATCTTAATACTATATAATCTATAATATTATACTAAATATAATAGAGTTATTTATCTATTTTATTTAATATCTATTTATTATTTATAAGTAATACTAATATATTTATATTAATAAAAAGATAGAATTTTATTTCTAAAATTAATATCTACTATTTATAGTAATCTAGAGAAAGAAAATTAAAATAATTATATAAGCTATTAATAAACTTATATAGAATTAGAAGAAACTATATAACTATATATTATTATAATATATTATAGAGCTAGTACTATATATCTCTCTATCTAGAACTAATAGATTATAATACTAGATATATTAGTATATTATCTATATAAAGTAAGGAATATATATTTATTTATAGAAAAAGTATAATTAAAATAATAACTAAAAGAAGAGTAATAATATTAGAAAGAAAGTAGTAGAGACTTATAACTAGCTATAGATAAATAGTATATATTATTAGTAGTTCTTTTCTTAAAGAGCTATAAGTAATTAGTTTAGAATTAATATAATTAGAGAGATTATTAATTCTATTAATTATTTATAATTTAAGATAGCTATAGAAAAAGTATAGAAACTCTTTAAAAAAGAAATAGCTAAAGAGAAATATAAAATATAAATAATAATTTAAATTAGGAATAACTAGTTTAAATCTAATAGATAGTTTAAGTTTATTAGCTAGATAATATATCTATAGGAGCTCTCTATTATTAAGCTCTATAGTATAAAGTAGAATATTTAGAATAATAAAATAGTACTATAATTAGTATAAAAAATAATAGAATATATATTTAATTAGATATAGATAATTATAATAGCTATTAAAATAAGTAAGATTATATTATTTAAGATAGTTTAAACTATTCTAAAAGGGAAATCTAATTAGCTATTTAATAGTAGAATAGAGAAGAATATATAGAAGTAGTATATAAATATATTTAGATAGCTATTATATATTATATATTATATAGATAAAATAGCTAATAATAAATAACTACTATTTATCTTTATAATAGTATAAGATAACTATTAAGATAAATTTATTAAAACTATATCTAGTAAATATAAGTAATAAAATAATTAGCTTAGTTAGAATAAATAGAATCTATATTTAATTATAATAATTAATTAGTTTAATTATATATTAAAAGGGAATATATATTAAAATATACTAATAAATAGTTTTTTTTTTTTTATTAGTTTTACTATAAATAAGAGTATATCCTAAGATTAGATAATATATAATTTAGTATATATTTTTTAAGAATATAATTAATAATCTATACTTAAACCTTTAATACTATAAAATAAAGTTAAAATTAAATACTTTCAGTCTAGATATAGATATTAATACCTTAAAAACTCTAATAATAGGAGCTATTTATATAGCTAGATATATAAATAGCCTAGCTATAGCTATAGCCCCTAAGAGGGGAAGCTTATTATCTAATAACTATATCTACTTACTAAGCTTATTAATTATTAATTAATTACCAGATACCTTAAATAATAATAGCTATAATAGCTATATCTAATATAAATATTCCAACCTCTTAGAGCCTGATTAATACTTCTGATAAAGCTCTTTAAGAGATAATAACTATTATCAGAGATAATATAAGATAGTTATTTACTAACTATATTTATTATATATTACTCTAATTAGTTAAGGACCTGCTTATAGTAATAAAGCTGCTTTTAATAGTATAGATCGAGCAGCTGTATCTGCTTAGTCTATTACTTTCTAATAAATAGTTTAATTATTATAAATATTTAGAAAAATAAAGAGTAAAAGTCTATATTTAATTATATATAGATCTACTTAGTTATAATTAAGATAGTATAAATATTTATATTATATTAATTATACTATAAATAGAAAATATAAATAATCTAGTACTTATAAATAATAGATATAAATAATATATATAAGAAAGTAGAGAGTATATTCTATATACTATATAGTAAGATAGTATAGTTTATAATATAAATATATAAAGAGTTTATAATTAAACTAATATTATTAAACTAGATCTTTAAGATATAAGTATATAGAATAAATATCTATTATAATATACTAGATAGTAGTAGTATTAAGTAATTAGATAATTATATAAGCTATAGAATAATCTAGTTCTAATATTATAACTAGTAGAGATATTATATATACTTATATAAGAAATAGAGAAACTACTTAAAATAC